GATTTACCGCACCATATCGCATCTCATTAGTCGCCAACTCTTGCGCGCAGACTGGATACGAACAGTTCGAAAGGGTAAACCGACTAACTTCTGCCGTGCTGACAATTATTCCGAGTTCCTCCGGAATATTATTCTATTATTTCATGCTCTCAATGAAGGATTTGATCATTAGGATCCAATCATTTTTGAATCAGGCGCAACGGAAGTTGCTTACCATCAACGTGTGGCGTCGTTGGTCAGGCTCGCACGTGGAGAGTGAATTAGGGCCTAATGGAACCACAAGCGGAAGAATTTCGGATATAACATCGTTGTCGTCTCACTACAGACTCCTGTGGTACCCCGTTTGTTTGATTAACAAGGTGATGCAACTCTTCATGGATGAACGATCCAGTGAAAATACAAATGACCCAATTCTGACTATTCGTGCTTCGTGCGAGGTGCAGAACTGTCCTGTCCTGTTCCCTACTTCATTTGTGCTAGCGTACGACGAGGACTAGTTCAAACTGTCCTGTGGCGCTATCATAGGACCTTCAACCGGGAACAGTCGGTACTATGTGGTCTGAAAGAATTGATGCAAATCAAATTGTACGAGGAACTGATAACTTTGGTTTAAATCCACGACAACTCACTGTGAGTGGATTTCAGCTGTCCATTGTTTCTCGTTATCTGACATTGGCTAGCCTAATTCACATGTGTGACTATGAGAATGACTTGCGGTACCTTCGCGATTTTCCAACTCCCGGGGGATCAAATCGATTCCGGTTCGAAATTCAATTCACTGGTGATCAAGCAACTTTAAAAATCCATGAATAATTGCGCTAAGAATCACACTGATCACGGTAGTATCACTGAGTCGGAATCAAATGTTCAAATTCCACTATCTCCATTGAATTTTCTTATTTCCTCATGCGTCCCGGTAATCTCTCTGATCAGTCACTGTCAGCTCTACATCAAATGCATTTTCAAATGAATACTTCTTTTGTTCAATAAATTCGAATGAATGAAATGAGTAGCCTTATGAACTCATAAATCGAAGGTACGATGTGTCCGTATTATGACTGTACTGGAACCAATGACTTAGCAGAAGGCAGACACTGTCAAAGAATGGTCCACATCTGTCCACAATGATACTAACTGAGTAGTTCAGTCATAACAGTTGGGATTTTAAATGAGCTTTCATGGCTCGTGTTTTATCATTCGATCAGTTGATGTTGAAAGCAGGCTTGTAGTCTGCGCCGTATCTTTCCTACAAACAAAATGTAACTGTGCAACTGGGATGTGCTACTTCGTTTGTTGCTGTGACCAGATCCTGGTAAATCACGGAGAGACACAAAATCGACGAATAAGAAATTTGACAGCGAATATGCAAGTACTTTGCACCTTTGAATCGATCCATATCATTTGGTAACTTGTTTGTCAGAAACCGATGAACCTCAGCGTCTGCGCGCGTGTGTTTGTGTGTGTGTGTGTGTGTATAGGTGCACTCTATGGGACTTTGTTTGGATGGAATTTATGAAATGTTATAGTACTCTTTGTAATACCTGTGTACCAACGGAATCGGATGGTGTCATGTGATATAGCTAGCGCAATGTCAGTGACCGATCATTTTACATGTGAACAGCCGACATTTATTGTGCAATCTAGTTTCTGTTCTCTCTCTCTCTCTCAATCTCTGTGTGTGAGTGCGCGCAAATTTGTAAGTATTGATGTGGTATCGATCTTCTGCTTCCCACCCGTTGGGATCTTATGTATCCATCTACATTTGTGTTCCTGCATTTGTTGAAAAGGGAAACGGGTAAGGAAATGTGGCGACGGCAGTGGCGTAGGGGGTGGGGTGGGGTGGGGGAGAGGAGGGTTGGCGGACAGGAGGGTAACCGTCACACAGATGGCAATCCGGAAACCCGGTTGAATTATTCTATCACACTGATACCTCTCGGTTAAAAGTGGCGTTGATTTTCTCATGAGACATGAGTGAGCACACAGCTCTGCGGAACGTGAGATGTGTCACCCTCATCCGCGGACCAGGTGAACGCACACACACACACACACACACACACACACACACACACACACACGATCGAACTAATCTAAACACATGGCTAGGTCAACTGGGTTCATGGGATTAAGGTCACATGAAGGACACGCAAAAAGAAAGAGAGATTGCATTTGTGTATCTGGATGCCTGAGTACGGGGCACACACAAACACACATACACACAAATTCACCGCATGTATGTGCACATAAGATTCTGCTAAATTGCTGTTTGAGATCAGAGAAACAGAGGAAGGCTTCTATTGCCTGAGATATAGTGTCGGAAGAGAGCAAACACACTGTATGCTTAGGAAGCCCAACGGCCCGGAAATTCAACTTTGCTGGGGTAAGATTCTCGTCTGTTGGGGACGATCCTGCTTCTATACTAATTTTTAGCCAGTCTTTTAACAGATCACAGATCACAGTCCCGCTGGAGCCCGGGGATACTTCGAAACGATGGGGCGGTTGGTTTGTCACTTGCTTTTGGTTCACGATTCGGACGTGTTCTTGGTTTCCTGCAGAAAACTGGGCACTATGCTTATGAGGGAGAAAAGAGTCAACGAAATCGTTTTTTTTGTTTGCGTGTTTTCATTGTGGCAAAACCAAATAGAACTACGCATACACCCACACACTCACTGATTTATTTGGTGTGCGCGGACAGTCCAAGAGATCTGTCTTCACGTATATTCTAATTTTGAATGAGATCAAGACGTGCAGGGTTGTCAATATCCCACAGAGTTTCCCGAGCCACCATTATAGTTTCCGGGGGGATCGGCCTTCATTTGGAGAACAAAGTTTTTTGCTGCAAAACAAGATGACTGATCGTCTATCAAATTGAGAATCGGAACGTTTTCGCGCCATTAGAGGCATTTTTGAATTATCCGTTTCTTGTATTTACAGTTTGTGGTGTTCCCGTTGGGGTGTGAAACATAAAATGCTGTGAAAAATCGGTCTCTGTGTTCAGTGATTATATGATGAACAGGATTGGTCTGATATCTCCCAGTTAGTTAGTTAGCAGTCATCTATGAACCTCAACTCATGTTTGTGTATTTCCGTTCAGAAACCCGCTAGGGGATCAACAGCAGCTCCCTTAACGATCATCTAGTGCAGTATAGACGATCAATTCGATTAGTTTTCGTCGGAACGCTGCTCAATGTGAGTGCGTCATGAGTTGTGATGAGGACTGGTGAACGGGGATTTCTTGAGCTGGATGACTTTGGTCTATGATTTGTAATAACATATATCAAACTGTATGATCGTATCCAATTGGTGAAAGTGCGTGAAAAACAAACTTCCCATAGTTGAATGGAAGCAATCGATCGGAAATTATTCCGAAAACACGGTCCAACGAGAAAAAATAAAAACCGACTAGGTTGGATGAATGAGCGGACATTGATATGAATCACTATGCGCATGCACTATGTTTCATAACTGAATAAAATAATCTGTTAAAATGTCGTACTTAGCTACACAATATTAATCAATAAATGGCTATCCGAAACTGGTCTACCATAAAATAATCCAGGAGATGAATATCCCTAGGTGATCCCATTGTGGTGATGGATTTACTCTTCAGCAAATAAAGCTAATTTTTGTTCTATTGGAATAAAATTTAATTTAATTATTCTTTTCATGTAACGCCAATCCTTTAAATAAACTCTCGATCTCTTTACTTTCGTATGCTTTCATAAAAAGGAATTGGGATTTCTGAACAAAAGCTTGAGTGAAAGAAACCTACGGAACTTTCACAGTGTGAATGTGTGACAACGTGTTAGACAAGTCGGTAGAAGCCACGAGGTATAATACGTAGACCTGGACATTGTATGAAGTGCTCAGCACGTGTGGGATTGTGTCAGCTATTTCATTCTGCTAAGTATCTGTCTAAACCTAAGCGTTTGGCTTTACTTCGACATATCCGCAAATCTCCGTGTTATTCTGGTTCTCCCGGACGGGTTTGTATTCCCCACTGTACCACACATTCGGTACTCAACGTTTGTGCCCGGGACCGTAGTGGACGCCGTTCGTTGATAGTGTGCCGCTTATCTTACTGACAACTTGTAAGATCAGAT